ATTGTTGCTATATAAGGTAAAGTTAAATCATTAGTTTTGAGCTCAATTCGATACTCAGAGTTACGGTCCGACATGTGCTTCAGAAGGGCGCTGTCATTAGGTCATTGCTACAAAGTCACAGTTTGSATTCAAACATTCTTACCTGAATTTTCGATCGCTCGTATTTCTGTTAAAAGGCGTTATTTTGCCTCAAAATTTTGTAATGACCCATTTTTTAGATGTTCTCTCGAGGACAATAATAAAATTTCACTAATTTTGTCTCTAAATAGCTTTTTTAGACTATCACGCGAACTCAGTAAAAGTCACGGATACTTCTTAGAAATTACGAAGCTTTTGCCCAAAAAATAATACAAATGGGACCATTTTTTCAATCAAAAAACATCCACRCCACTCCTACCACCTTAAATTCGAACAGTGGCAAATTAGAGCAAGATTTATACTGTAGAATAGTAAGGAAAAGATGAAAGAGACTATACCTGTTGTAGCTTGTTATGCTCGAATCACCTTAACTTAATTCATGCATATTCATTAGTTCTTATTTCTAGCTGCGCCCAATAGTCAACTTTASATATTTTGGTTKGATGACTATGTACAAAAGAACGCACACGAGGCTCCGGGGAAACAATGGATAATATTGATTTATTCTTTTARTTCCCCGGAGCCTCGTCTGCAYTTRTTTTYTGCATGGTCACTGAACCAAAATATCTAAAMTCGGCTATTACAACAGCAYTCAAAAGACATGAAGCGCGCCCCCCGAAGACTTCATTATTCAAGTCATTATTGGATTTTCCATTATATTTGTCGTTTTCAAACTTCAGTTGGTTTATGCAAAATTGAATTCAAATCTCGAAGTCTATTGCATAATGGACTACACCGAATAGACCCTCTCTGAATGCCATTAGAGAGGAAATATTGGCGCAGTACATAAGAACGAAATAGCACGTGGCTTACGAATATCAACGAGCTCCGGTCCTTCTATGACCACCTCGATCTTTGATCAAAGGTTATTTTTAGTATTGTCTATGTTATCGAGCTGCTTCACCTAAATTTTCAAAACGTATATTAGGGAGTACATAAAAAATAAACAAATGCTTCTTTTTATGGTGAACTTGGGAGAGCATCACTGTTGTTTTCCAACATAAACCGGAAGTAACTTTAGGAATTGAAAAATATTCTTTTTGAATTTAACAAGAGCAAGAAAATGTACTTTTCCTAAAGAAAGCAATTTTTCTTGAATCCAGGTGAATGGAATCTCTTGATATTTGCCATCTAAACTCCTCAAGGGCCCTTAGGAGCCGTTTCCGTTTTCGGAAGCGGTACGCAAATTAAATTGAATTGGTCATTTTCACCCATTCGCATGAGATTCAAAAGATAAAAGACAGGCGGCCATGTTGAAAGAATGAACAATAGATACTAATGAGAAATCCCTTGTTAAAGTTCCTCCAAGATGGATGCTGTGACGCAACCTGCAAACGAAGAATTGATAGAAATGAAGCATTCAATACCGTCTTGCTTCAGGTCCACTTTTAGTACAAATTACACCCGATTTCAAATGAGTGCGAACTCTCGAATTTTTTTTGAACGCTAAACTTTCACTCGACCGTCATTCACTCGACCGCTTGGTAACCAGGCACACGTGTTTAGTAAGTGATGCGTGACTTTCTGCGGGACTTTCGCATTTAGAATTATGGAGGAAGAAGCGGTGGTCTTTGTTCGAAATATCTGTGGTCCTTGTGT